GGAGAAAAGATGGGATTCAAACCCCATCCTTCCTCTCACCAGTCAGGAGAGGCAGCTTACAGGAGAGGTTCAGCTTGTGACACAAAGCCATCTGCGTGGTGGGAGCCCTAATTTTGCTGCTTCCTAGCTGTGTGACTTTTAGCAAGTTGCTTAAGCTTTCGACACCTAATTGTGCCGTTTTAAAATATGGAAAAAGAATGATTCCTGACTCATAGGATTGATGTGAGGATTAATGAGCCCAGCATTTATATTTAAAACACTGCCTGAAACACAATATTCTATGGATTGTTATTATCGTGACTTTAGGATTGATCATTACTTAATCTCCCTTAATCTCCCCATTTTACCAAGGATGAAAATTTGATGAATGGTGTCTTCCTTAAAGACTGGTTTTGAGGATTAAGAAAATGCTTGTGAATGAAACTCAGTGATTGACATGGGAATGGCCTCAACATCCATTAGCATTTATCATTATTACCATATGAACTTTCTCAAACATTTCCACAAGTTTATCCCTTACAACTTCTACCCCCACACACACACACCAAAAAATTACCAAATATCTGCATCTTGTATTTTTTTGCTTGCTATATTTGTGTGCCCTTTCCTTATATTAGGTTTTTAGAAGTGGGAACTTAATATTAAAGACTTGATTGATTCTACCTGATGAATATCAGTTTCCTGGTGAGATGGTGTGGTCCAGAATAACAACAGTAGTGTTAGGACTAGGTGAAAAACTGAAATCACTGCAAAGTTTTGCTGCCTTGTTAGTAGGGGAGGCACAGAGCCCAGACATCAATTAAATGTGTCCAGGTAGAGCAGTGGTTCTGAAATGGGGATGATTTTGCCCCAAGGGGATGGCTGGCAATGTCTAAAGACAGTTTTGTTTATCAGAACTGCAAGGATACTACTGCATCTGAGACCGAAGATGCTGCTTAATATCCTACATTGCCTAGGGCATTCCCCACCACAAAGAATTATCCAGCCCCACATGTCAACAGTGCTGATGGTGAGAAACCCTGTGCTACTACTGACAGTACTACAGAAAGTGGACAGTGCATTCCTCTGGTCACGAGACAAGAGCAAGAGTATTTTCCTTCCCCTCGGCACCCAGATTCTTTTACTCAGCCTCTGGCCAGCTGAGCAGCTTAGTCTCTCCCCCAGTGGACCCAAGGACAGGGCAGCTTTGAAGTACAAATCTTTTATCCCTATGATTTAATCTGTAGGTGTGCCTCATCTTGAGTAATGTGTGGTAGTAAATACTGGAAAAAGATAGAGTCTCTATCCTTAGGAGACTCGCTGTCTGGTGGGTAGTACATTAATAAGAATTAGTCTACTTGTAATTGATGGATTAAGCAAATAAATATGCAAACACCCTCATAAACAAAGGTATGCTATGGGCTTATTTGGATAAATCATCTTCAAAGTGGGAACCATGAAAGTCCCTGAATAATCAAACAATCTTGAGAGAGAAGAACAATGTCAGAGGTATCATGCTCCCTGATTTCAAACTGTGCTACAAAGCAATAGTAATCAAAACAATATGGTATTGGCACAAAAACAGATACCTAAATCAATGGAACAGAATAGAGAGCCTAGAAATAAACCCATACGTACATGGACAATTAATCTATTACAGAGGAGGCAAGAATCTACAATGAAATAAAGACAGTCTCTTCAATAAATGGTATTGGGAAAACTGGACAGATAACATGCAAAAAAATGAAACTATACCACTTTCTTACATCATATACTAAAATCTCAAAATGGATTAAAGACTTAAATGTAAGACCTGAAACCATAAAACTCCTAGGTTAAAATAGAGGCAGTAAACTCTTTGACATGGGTCTTAGCAATATTATTTTGGATATGATGCCTCAGGCAAAGGCAACAAAAGGAAAAATAAACAAATGGGACTACATGAAACCAAGAAGCTTTCGCAGAGCAAAGGAAACCATCAACAAAATGAAGACAACCTATTGAATGGGAGAAGATATTTGCAAATGATATATTTGATAAGGAATTAATATCCAAAATATATAAAGAACTTATACAACTCAACATCAAAAAAACAAAGAACAAACAAACAATTCAATTAAAAAATGGACAGAGGACCTGAACAGAATTTTAAGAAGATCTACAGATGGCTAATAGACATATAAAAGATGCTCAACATCACTAATCACCAGAGAAATGCAAATCAAAACCACAAGGAGATATCACCTTACACCTGTCAGAATGGCTATCATCAATAAATCAACAGCAAGTATTGGTGAGGATATGGAGACAAAGGAACTGTTGATGGGATTGTAAATTGGTATAGCCACTATGGAAAAACAGTATGAAGTTTCCTCAGAAAATTAAAAATAGAGCTACCATACAATCCAGCAATTCCACTTCTGGGTATTTATCCAAAGAAAACTGAAACAGTAATTTGAAAAGATACATGCACCCCTGTGTTGACTGCAGCATTGTTTACAATAGACAAGATATGAAAGCAACCTAGGTGTCCATCGATAGATAGAAGTTATGTAGATAGAAAGGAGTGAGCAATCTGGATTAGGGAACAGTTTTAGTACTTGTTGTATTGGTGGTGTTTACCTTGTTTTAAGCTCCTAAGAGGCAAGGATTTTTCTTCTTTCGTTATAGAGGGTAGCACTTGATGAACACAGCTAGACTTCGTCATTATGCTTCCAATTCTGCCCATGCTACCCTGCCATTGACCTTGGTAGAGGGTAGAAAAATAATAACTGAAAAGCCACTGATCCTGAGAATACCAACTTGCTTGTGAGGAAGCAAAGAGGATGTGGAACAGAAAAGATGTCTATGTAGTCCCTTTTGGTGCCTCATCCCTCTGTGTGTGGCCTCAATTGAATTTCACATTGAAATTTTGGCATTATCATGGGTAGATTGGGCTGTTTATTAATTCAGTAAACACATCAGTAGCACCTGATATGTACTAGGTACATAGGTGACAAGGATTTAAAGATACAAAGGATCCTACTTCTTTAAAATAGGGACGTACACTCAAGTGCAATTATGTAAGTGATATGATTGAGTCATGCAAAGCAGTGGTTTTCAGATTTAGCTGTGCATGGAAATCTCCTTAGGAGATTTAAAAACTATTGATGCCTTGTTCCTATTCACAAAGGTTTTGACTTCATTAGTCTGAGGTGGAGCCCAAGAATTTGGTTATTTCAGAGCACCCCCAGTGGCTCTCATGAGCAGCCAAGTTTGAGAATCCCTAAGGTGAGGATGCTATGGGAGCAGCTAAAGGGCGAGATGAGGGATGGAAGGGCTGCTGGAGGGGTGAGGCCAAGTGAGCTTTGAAGGAAAGGTGAGAGCTGGCAAGAGTAAAAAAGGAGGCAGGGAAATGGTTGGATACAAACAACACTGCAAGCAAAAGGGAGAAAGCCAAGAAGGACAGGAATAGCTCTTGGCTGAGAAGTCAGTAAATCTCTCTAGTTCTGGCCTAGTTCCTATGTCACCTTAGGTACACATCAATTTCTCTGTGTCTCAGTTTCCCATTCAGTCAAATATAACTCATGATATCTGCTGTCCTTACCTTAGAGGTTTGCCCTTTGGATCAAATGAGGTAAGGAAAAGCTAAAAGATATTTTATCTGTAATCATTGGGGAAAAAAATAAGATATTAGAGTAAGGCCTCATTTATTTAGCTTCTTTGGAGAAAGATATATTTTATATAAATGAACTTTGTAAGTAACTGAACTTTAATCATTCAAAACATAATTGCTTTAGTTTAACAAAAATTCTTTCCTTTTTCCTAACATACATCATTTGTAACCCCAGTCTCTTAAATGGGGTGCACTGATACCATTAGCCCCCTTGTTTCCAGTTTTCTATGACTTTAGCCCCTCAGTATGGACATCAGATACTGATGCTACAATATAGTCATGGCCTCAAGACCATTGAGAAGTGCAGACATTTATGGTGTGGGAGATTGGGTTTTGAGTTCTTAGGTCTGCTTCTCATATGTTTTCTATTTCTCTTGCTATCTGGGCATCAGCTATCCATTTTCACCATTTTAAATTCTACTTGTTTTTTCTGACTGGCTGCTTCTTACTTGTTCAGAACTGGAAGACCAGAAAACCAGTCTTAGGATGATATTTAAAATAAGAGTAAATAGACTATGAGTAAGGGCTTGCTGGAGAGGGTGGATTATGGGATTTCTTTAGTACATGCATCTTTTAATGTCTGTGTTGGCTTTTTAAGCTGATTTTCTGGGTCTTACTCTGACCTGGATATCTCATGCAGGAGACGGCTGACTAGGCTTTATGCATGGAAGGTCTGTGGCCCAGGCGGATTCGTTTGCAAAGATTCTCATTTAGCCGCCTTCTTCTTCTGGCTCTTGGCAACAGACATTTACGGTTCCCTACTCCGATCATCAGGAGAATTTGGTCTTAGTCAAGACAGATTTTGAATGTTGGTCACCAAACATTTATTGTTTGCAAGGCACAAGGAAGGAAGGGTGGATGGATCAAGTCAGGAGGGCAGAAGTGCCTTGAAGCAAGCAGCCAGGACTGAGGCAATGCACCTTCCCCAGGTGACAGCACTGGGTAGGGAATGGCACACTCTCGGGGAGGACAGAGGAGGAGGAAGTGGTGGAAGTCATCAGGGGTGGCAAGATGGAAGGAAGACCATGGGGAAGAGAGAACCTCTTAGAAGGTGTGAGATGATGGAGGGGAGGGGCAAGGACGGAGATTTAGACCAGCATTGCTGTGGACTCTGTACTCGTTTATGTTTTGTGACAGCCACCAACTCTCTGACACCACTCCAGGACTCATGGGGTTGTGACCATTACAGGTGACAACTACTAGAGGAAGCCATATAGCTGGGGCCGGCCAGTGGCCATATTCTATGGATCTGCATGGTGCAGGACAGTCCCTTTTGAGAAAATGACTTTCCGGGCCAGTAATCAGCCTGTGTGCTTCCCTTTGTTATCCTGTGGTCACTGAGCTTCTGTCTCCCTTCCTTCCCCAGGTCGGTGGCCGGACTGGATAAGGAGCCGGACCTGGTGCACATGGAGGCGAGGACTGCTGACGGATGTGAGTGCTGCTCTGCCAGGCTAGGCCCAGGGAGGCCTGCCTGTAGCTCTCTCCTCCCCCAATTTGCATTTTAATGACTTGGGAAGATGAAAAGCCCTAAGCTTCATTACTGCCATATCCATCCTTGTTTCCTAGAGTGGGGGAGAGGCTTCTGGTCCCAAGGGAGACATTGCATTGAAATAAATCCTCAGGAATGAATTTTCTGGGGATGCGAGTTAATGTGATGAATTTTGAGGCTCCTGTTAGTAATTTTCTGGCATCCTCAGTGCAGTTTGAATTAGGGATATCCGTAGCTCGTCACGGGGTTTTGCGTTCACATGGTGAATGGCAGGATTTGCCAGCTTTAGAAAACAAACCCTTCCTAGAGTCCAGCTTACCGAAAAAGTAACTGGGCAGTTATTTGACGAACTTGTTATTTATTTATTCCACAAATAGTTATGGACGGCCTACTATGTGCCAGGCATTGTTCTACGTTCTGGAGGTGCAGTGGTGAGCAAAGCCTCTGCTGTCCCTGCAAACAAGCAGTGAAAACCCCGAGATTTGGGACATGTGACACCTTTGCGCATCGTGCACCTATGTACATCTTAGAATTTGACCAATGAAGCATCATTTTGCACCGCTTTAAGCATTTTATTCTTCCCATAGTTGAGCATATTTATAGGGCTCTTCCGTATGCAAGAAAAATGAAATCACCCAAAACAAAAATATACAGAATATGTGAAAACATATGATATATATGAAATACATGAAAATATAATTAGCATATCCTAGGTCAAAAATAGAGCCAATAATCTACGGAAGCAGTGGCCATCGGGCAATGCGGCCCAACAGGCACCTGCGGTGAGTTGGGGCGCTGGGCTGTGCTGCCCATTAGCCTCGAGGCCAGGGGAGACCCCCTCAAACTCTGTGCTCTGACCTCCTCTGTCATCCGGCGTTGCTCATTCCTGCCCTGCCTACTGCACAGGGCTATGGGTTGACCAAATGGAGACGGAGGTTGTAGAAATTATAAAATGTTGTACAAATGGAAGGAGATTCTTTTTTAGCCTGGCTGTGCATGCTGGAATATCATTTAGAAATACATGGAGTAAAAATGTATGTGTTTTGTCCAAACATGGTTTTGAAGCCAAACACAGATGCATGCCAGAAACATGCATTTTGGGTAATGTATTTGCTTTGTTTTTCTTTTCAAAGAGTTAGAAAGTAATCAGCATTTGTTACTAGATGTCTGACACTCTGCTAAATAGTTTCTTTTTTTTTCTTTTCTTTCTTTTTTTTTTTTTTTTGGCCAGGTTGTGTGGGGAGTCCCGTTTGATTCTTTTTTTTTTTTAAAGATTTTATTGGGGAATTGAGGGATGGGAACAGGCAGGTAGACAAATTGCTGTTTTCTCCTTCAGTCTAGTTGTGGAGGACGTCGCTTCACTGACCCATGTTAGTATGATCCTTGTGCTCTTCCCGGGTGAGGCAATCGGTCGCTGGTCATTGGTCGGCCGCTCACAGCAGCTCCCGGTAGTGGCTAGCCACTCACGTAGCTCACGGCAGCCCACTGTAGCTTCACTGCACCCTACGCTGTCGCCGGCGACCCACAGCAGCCCAGCTCCAGATCGAGCCATTGTTCATCATCTTAGCTGTAGAGGGTGCAGTGTCACTGGCCCTCAATGTGGGATCCAAACCGCAGCCCTGCTGCTCAGAGCTGGTGCTCCCAAGCGAGCTCTTAACCAGCTGAGCCACTCGGCCCGCCCCATTTGATTCTTGAATAAATGTAAGTCTCTGAAGCAGACAGGGATGAGGAATAACCCAGTGTATTTAAAAATAGTCTTTAATAGAAGAAGTATTTAAGATTTAGGGATTTAAGGTCACATACTTGAATTCACCGATCATAATGGTGACGAAACCCAGATGCAGAGAGCTTAGAAAAACAACAACAACAACAAAGAAAAACAAACAAAAGACACAACTGGGAGAAGAGAATTCAGTGTAGGGGTTTGAAGGAGCATAGTAGGACAGCATAAAGAAGAGAGCAGACAGCAACTCTCAGACGATGAGCAACAGGCCAGTTTTCTAGACAACCCCCACCTTGACTTTTCTTCCCATGTCAACCTTTTAAAGCCATACATATGATTGTAGTTGTAGTATTGTGGTTGTAGTATTTCAGAGTTGGAGGAAACTTTATAGGACTATCTGACCTCACACTTCATGTGGGGGTACCTTCCCCCAAAACCTCTACTGCATGTCATCAGGATCCATGTGCTCGGGCTTAAGACACATCTTTTGCTACTGCTACGCAGCTCCTATTTTTTGTTTAAAGATAATTTAATTACATTAAGCTTAAATTTATTTTCTGAAAGTTCAAGGATTCTGGTCCAAATTTGGATGAGACCTATGAGATTAAAAATGCAAAGCACATAGAAGAGTTTTGGACCGATTGTCAAGAATTGACAAAAAAAGAAGAAATATAGCAGGGATAAATGTGATATGCTACACTCAGGTTAACGTATAGTATTTACTAATTCTGTTCCATTTTCTAGGTTTTTTTAAACTCGGTTTTTCAATAGTTCAAAGAATATTCTCTCAGCCTAGTAAATTGGATCTAACCCGCCTTTATTTAGAGACTGCACATAACAAGACTGTGTTAGCTCGGGGATGTTTTATTTTACATACCCTAATGAAATGCATGTCACCTTCCTTTTGTGACATGGTGGTGAGTGCTTTCTTACACTCATACATGCATGCACATCTTTATCTTTTGATCATCACAAAAAAAGCACGTAATGTATTTGCTTTCCTTTTCTTTTCCCCCTGATGTGGTAGCTTAGACTCGAATTTGACCAGATTCATGCAGCTAGCCTACTGATAAAATAAAAACTGGAACACAAAACTCTCAACACACTACAAATAGAAGGGGACTCCTGACAAAGTACCTCTACAAAGACATACAACTAACATCATGCTTAATGGTGAGACCCTGAACGCTTCCCCCCTAAGGGCAGGAAAAAGGCAGGGATATTTACTCTTACCTTACCACAGCTCTTCATCATCGTGCTGAAAGTCCTAGCCAGGGAAATAAAGAAATAAAAATGAAATGCAAGGGGAAAAATAAAACTGTTGCTATTTTCGTTGACTTGATTGTCCATATAGAATATCACAAGGAGTCTACTGAAAAAGCTTCTAGAACTAATGAGTAGGCTGAGCAAGGCTGCAGGATACAACATGTTCAGTGGAGGAATAATATTTTTGTAATGAATGGTGTTGGAAAAAATGGGCAATCATGTGGGGGGGGGGAATGAACTTTAACCTGTGACTCAAAATTTATACAAAATTTAACTTAAAATGGGTCATATTCTAAATGTAAAATGTAAAATTACAAACTTATAGGAGAAATTCTTTATGACCTTGGATTGACACCAAGAGCAAAATTGACAAAATAAAGAATTGGTAAATTGGATTTAATCAAAATTAAAAACTTTTGGGCCGGCCGAGTGGCGCGATGGTTAAGAACTGGCTTGGGACACCATAGGGTCCCGGTTCGGATCCCACATATGAGGGCCAGTAACACTGCCTTCTACAGCTAAGATGATGAACAACAGCTCAGCCTGGAGCTGGGCTGCTGTGAGTCGCTGGTGATGGTGATGGTGTAGTCTGCAGCCCCTGTGGCAGTGGGTTGCCATGGGCTACCATGAGCGGCCAGCAGCCAGCGTGAGCGGCCAGCAGCCGCAGTGAGCGGTCGTCCAGAAGCCGGCGACTGATCTGCCTCGCCCGGGAAGAGCGCAATGATGGTGCCAACTTGGGCCAGTGAAGCAACGTCCTCCACAACTAGACTGAAGAACAAAAGGACAGCAACTTGTCTGTTCCCCTTCCCCCAATTCCCCAGCACTGTTCCCATCCCCCCAATTCCCCAATAAAAATCTTTAAAAAAAAATTAAAAACTTTTGCTGTTTAGAAGACATAATAAAGGCAGTGGAAAAAAATATTTGGAAATCATATATCTAACAAAGGACTTATAGCCAGAACATATGAAGAACTTTCAAAATATAACAATAAGGAGCAACTCAATTTTTTTAAAAAATGGGATAAAATCTGAACAGACTATATATACCAAAGAAGATATAAGGATGACAAATAAGCACATGAAGTGATGCTCAACATCATTAGACATTAAGGCAATGCAAATTAAAAATATAATGAAATATCATTGCACACGTATTGGAATGGCTAAAATAAGCAAAACTGACAAAAATATTAAGTGTTGGCAATGATATGAAGCAACTGGAACTGTTATACATTGTTGGTGAGAATGGAAAATGGTATAGACATTCTGGAAAAATATTGGAAGTCTCTTATAAAGTTACACACACCCTAGGATACAGCAATTTCACTCCTACATATTCACCCTAAATAAATGAATGTTATATTCACACAAAAACCTATACACAAATGTTTGTAACAGATTTATTAATAACCATTTCAAACTGGAAGCAACCTAAAAATTCTTGAATGGATGATTGACAAGCTGTGGTGTATCTATAAAATATTTAGAATGCTATTCAGCATCATTGATACATGAAGAAACATGAATGAACTTCAAAGACATTATGTTGAATCACATAAGCTAGTTTCAAAAGGCTACATACTGTATGATTCCATTTATATGACCATATGAGAAAGGCAAAACTAGGGATGGAGAATAGATCATTGGTTTCCAGAGTGAGGGAAGTATTTGACAAAAAAGAGCAGAATGAGGGAAGTTTTTAGGGTGATATAATCGTTCTGTAGCCTGATTATATTAATCTATATATCTATTAAAACTTTAGAACCATATGCCAAAAAGGTACTGTGTATAAATGAAAACAAATAACTCTTTTAAAAGACTACTTAAATAAAATCAATGGTAAAAAAGAAAAAACAAAAATTGGAATGCTGAGTTCTTGGCTTCTAGATCTAAAGAACTTCCTAGTTTTTCTAATTAATTAATCCATTTAGCTCTTTTATACACCTGCATGTAT